GGAGGGACCAAAGTCGGGCACGTCGTACACGTCCACTCTCTTCTGACCGACGCCAACAACATGCGATGCTGAAGGAGTTTGGTGCTCTTTTCCTTTTCTATCCCCGGGCGACGATGGCGATGAAGTGTGTGTCCGCGAGTGCGCGTACCGTAGGGTGGCTGACTCCTCCCGACCGCGTTCTGGAAGAAGTACCTGCCGCGCCGCACGCAGACGTGTGCGGCGGACAGGCGCGCCTGACTGCCGTCGCTGACCTGGGCTCGGCGCCTTGCGACCCGAGCGAGTAGGAAAAGATCGTTCAGAAGAAGGCACGTGTCCATCTTTATTATTCTCAGATGCACTTGGCAAGTTACGGGGAGCACGGCGCCTGCGAGGCTCGGGGTAGGCCACCCCGCAATGCACGCATGCATCGCAGGGCAGGTGTTGCCTACTCAACAGGCGCCATGAGAGCTTGCAGAGGCTGGAGTGGGCAGGTTCGCGCAACTACGGTGAATGGCAACGGCGGTCTGCATGATGATCCCCAGTACAGCCACCCGCACGCATGCGGGGAGGTGGGAGGTGGGGTGGGCGTATGGCTGCGCTGAGTCGGGTGGTACTATAACGCGTGTAGCCGGTGTGGTACAGTACACTGTACAGTACACTGCACAGTACACAGTACCCGGACGGGGCGCGCGGCGCGCTGCATATTTATCTCCGGGGCGAGCGGGTGCCTCGCCCCTCCCGCTCAGAGTGTACGGGCGCGGCCTTATCACCAAGGGGGTAGTAGGGGCGCGGCAGCGGGGCCGAAGCGGAGGGTGTAAAAAAGAAATAAAGGGAAAACGTTATGAAAAGCGGGAGGTCCCTGTCCGCAGTGTGTGTGCACTTTATGCTAGTGTGTAGTGGGGAGGGGGTGCGTGTGTGCCCACTGTCACCAGCCTGCCGCCACACCACGCCCCTCCGGACTTCATAAACACGCGCGCTGGCGCGCTGGTGCACGCCGAGGCACCAGGAGTCAAGTTTTACTTTCAGGATGAAAACATGGAGGGGGAGGGGGGAGTTTATTAAAAAAGGGAGATAAAGACGTGGTTACTAGTTTTAAGTTGCTCCCCGTGGACCCGCTTGCAGGAGCGAGGAGTCCTTCGAGCAGTACGCCAGCAGCATGCCCTGGCCTGCCGTGTCCTGGTCCGACGACGCTTCGCGCCAGGAGCTCGCCTCGCTGCTCGCCGTCCAGGGCATCCCCACCCTGGTGCTGCTCGACGCCACAGACTGCACCGTCATCACGGATGACGCCAGGGCCAGGGTGAACGACGACCCGGACGGCAAGGTAATTTTACAGTAGAAAAATTTAAGAATAAAATTGAAATATTTCCAAAAAAATTCAAAATATTGAGAGATTTAAAAACTTTACCAAGACTATTTGTCTGAAAAATGAGAATCCTTAAGTGAGAGATGGAGTGCTGATGTCGGTCTGTTTCTACAGGACTTCCCCTGGCGCCCGGAGTCCGTGAGTCTGTTCACGGAGCGGCTGTCCTCGCGGCTGCACGACCACCCCGCCCTCATCCTGTTCGTCGGTAAGGTGCTGGAGGTCCTAAAGGAGGTCCTGACGCAGCCCGGTGCTCTGCTGGCGCGGCCACGGCGCTGACGATGTGCTGTTCTGTTGGCAGAGGGCGGGCCCGGCGAGGTGGAGTGGGCCATGTCCATCCTGAGGCAGGCGGCAGACGCGTACGGGGAGCGTCACCCCGTCTCTCAGTCGGCGTTGCGGGAGCCCCGACTGCAGTTCTACGTAGCACAAGACGTGAGTAAGGCGGGTGGTGGCCGGCCCCGGTGGACTCGAGGACGACGCTGATGGTGATGGCTCCGATCTGTTGCAGGGCGATGCCGCGGATGGGCTCCGCGAGCAGCTGGTGCTGGAGGACGCGGTGCCGCTGCTGGTGGCCGTCGACGTGTGGCGCGGCGCCGTGTCCGTCCTGGAGGACGAGGCGGACGAGGACGAGGTGGACGAGGACCGCGACGGAGCCATCAACGCCGCCAGCGCAGTGGCCTTCATGGACGCGTTCCTCGCCGGCGACCTTCCCTCCGCCCCCATCGGCGTGTACCTGCCGCCGCCCCCAAGGCCGCACCAGGCCCTGCTGCAGGACGCGCTGGCCGTCGAGGCGTGACCACAACGTGACCACAACCGCCCCGGTGTGACACATGTGCCATATTGTTTTAATCATATAGACTCGTAGCGTAAAGAGCTGCTTTGTAATTATAATGTGAAGCTTACAAAATGCCGCTTTGACATGACGATTTTAATAAAACGGCCATTGTAAATTAGGAGATAAACCATTCCACGTTATATCAGCATTATTGGCCTTTATGGTTCAGATTTTGTTCCGTTTAGGTGTAATCTGGCTAAGTGAACATAGTTGTATTAGATCTTTAACTAGATCTAAAGAATAAATGCAAATTCCCAATTCCGTTCTTCTTTTTTAAAATAT